CGCACAACCTCGCGTGAAATCGGTTTAAAACACGAGAATCAACCTCTCAAATGGCTCAAGAATAGGGATAAAAACAGGTGTAATTATTCACTGTTAGTTTGTTATTTGAGAAAGATTTAACCTAGCTACCAGAATCTTAGGGTTTAGAAATAAAATGAGAGAGCGCAGTCTTGTGGTAAATTGGCAAAATGCCTCTTCCTCTGTGGGATCTCATATATATATCAGGTAGCACTGTACATTAATGGTAAAGAGCAACAATTAATTAAACTAACTAATAAGGACAATCCAAGTGGCAAGCTACGTCTAATCTTCTTAACTAACTACACTAAACCAATACTACGTCGTTGTGCTTTGTGGAGTGTTTACCACTAAAAGTAAACGATGTATTTCTGAGGTCACTGAGTTGTGTACTGAACAGAGTGAAGGGAAGCTCTACTCAGCTTGTTGATTCTTTTCAACCTGTAGTGTCTTGGAAGATCTGCAACAGCTAGTGATCATGTAACCTCATTTACACACTCCCTCAAGCTTACCGGCATATGTCATGCACTACAAGCTTGGACAGTAGGCAGTGGAATTTGTCAACAGAGAGACCCTTAGTGAACAAGTCTATTAGTTGCTCTTCTGCCTGAATGTGCTGAAGAGAGAGCAGTATTGAAATCAATCTCTCACGAAGAACATGGATATCAACTTCAATATGCTTAGTTCTTTCATGGAAACCCGACTTTTATGCTATGTGTATAGCAGATTGATTGTCATAAAACACCTTAACTGGTTGTTGGTGTTGAAATCCATAGAACTTCAGTAATGATTTTAGACATTGAATTTCACACAAGAACTTAGCTAAAGCTCTATATTCTTCCTCTGAAGATGATCTTGAAACAGTCTTCTGCTTTTTACTTTTCCATGTAACTAACGAACTTCCCAAGAAAGTGCAGTATCCAGTAAGTAATTTTCTTGTGTTTCGGTAGGTAACCCAATCAAAATCACAATACCCTCATGTGGGTAGACACTGAAGATGAAGATGAAAACCGAAGACCCTGACTTGGACATCCCTTCAAATACGTTAAGATCTTATGTAAAGCCCTCATGTGTGTAGTTGTAGATTTTTCTTGAAACTGGCAAAGTTGTTGAACTGGGAATGTGATGTCTGGTCTTATTGAGATTAATTACTAGAGTTGTCCTAGTAAATGCCTGTAGTGAGAACCATCTTCCAAGGGAACTCCATGTGATGCTGAATGAATAGTTTTCATGCTTAAAGGGGTCTTTGCAGGTTTACTTTCTATAAAGTTAGAGTTGGCCAACAGTTCTAGACAAAACTTTCTCTTATTCAAATAAATACCTTCATTTGATCTAGCAACTTCTAGTCCAAGAAAGTATCTAATATTGCCTAGATCCTTCACCTTGAAACCCTTCTTCAATTCCTACTTCACATGCTCAATATCTCCCAAAGTAGGTTCTGCCAAATAGTATGGCATCTACATATACAATGAGAGTTACTAAAATCATCTTAAAACCTAAGTAATCATCAAGGGATTGCTCAAATCCCATGTTCTTCAAATACTCAGACAGTTTGATAAACCACTGTCGACTGGCCTGCTTGAGTCCATAAAGTGACTTGTTAAGCTTGAGTACCTAGCCCTCTAGGTGACTTAGACCCTTCAAACCATCTGGTACCTCCATATAAACCTCATCCTCTAAGTCGCCATGGAGGAAAGAATTGCTTACATCCAGCTGATGTAAATGTCAACCTTTGATAGCATCAATGGCTAAAAGAAGCTTAACTTATTCCAATTTTGCAACAGGGGAGATAGTGTGAATAAAATCAACACAATAAGTTTGTGCATTGCCTTTGGCTACTAAACGAGCTTTACTTCTCTCTATTTCCCCATTTGGTAAGAAATTGGTTTTAAACACCCATTTGTTCTCTACAATCTTTTGTCCAACAAGAGGACCCACAGCAGTCCATGTGTTATTCTCATCCAAAGGACCCAACTCTTCTGTAATTTCTTTATTCCAATGGTCTTATGTGATAGCCTGAGAGCAGGGTTCAGGGTCTAGTTTGAGTGAAATGGAGAGAGTGTAATGTTTGTTGTTAGAAGATAAACTATTGTAGTTTAGAGAGTGGGAAGGAGGATAAGTGATTCTGGTATTATGAGTGCCAGGAGTACCATCAATAAAGATAGATGTGTTAAAGTCTTGTAAGTAAGCAGGTTGTCTGGAAACTCGTGTAGGCCTTCTAAGAGCAATAGGAAAAGAGTCTTGACCTGTAATAGAGAAAGAAGGTGTATAAGTGGAGGGAGAAGAAGAGGAAATAGAAGATTGAGGTGTAAAGGGTGAATTGGGAGTCTGAGTAAGAGGTGAAAATGGTGTAGATGAGGAAGGTGAAGAATCTGTATCTGTAAAGGAATAAGATGGATCAGTATTTTCATGGTGATTATGATCTGGAGGTAGAATTGGAGAAATGGGTAAAGGGGTGGATTGAGAAGAAGAAGGAATCCTACTCTCAGATGCCTTAAAAGGGAAGGAATCATCAACAAACTCCACATCTCTACTGATAAAAGTATCACAAGTCTCTAGATCATATAATTTAAAACCCTTAATCCCAGAACACACAGTTTTTTTTTTTTTTTTTTTTGCTTTCTCTGCAAACTTCTTCTTATGTTCATCAAGAACTGTAGCATAAGCAAGACAACCAAAGGTTCTCAAGAAACTTTAATCAGGTGGTATGCCATACAAACACTCAAAAGGTGTTTTGTTACCTAAGATAGGATTAAGAGTCCTGTTGATTAAGTATGTCGCATGCAAGACCAGATTGCTCCAGAAGCTAGTAGATACCCCAGACTGAAATTTGAGTGCCCTAACAACATTTAAAATGTGTTGGTGCTTGAGTTTTACCTTACCATTCTACTGTGCAGTCTTAACACAACTCATCTCATGCAATATGCCATGATCATGATAAAATTTAGGCATATTGAACTCATGCCACTTATCAGACCTTATCACCTTAACAGTCTTCTCAAATTGTGTTTTTTACCATGCTATAAAAAATTGAACTAATCCAGGTGCTTTTGATTTAGAACTTATAAGAAACAACCGTACACTTCTACTGTAATCATCAACAACAGTTAAAAAGTACTTAAAACCATCATAAGAAACAACATCAACTTGTCCCCAAATGTCAACGTGGACACGATCAAATAATGATTTGATAGTAGAGATACTTCTAGCAAAAGGCAATTGTTTCTGTTTGGCTAAATGGAAAATCTCACTTATAAGAAACAAGCATACACTTCTACTGTAATCATCAACAATAATTAAAAAGTACTTAAAACCATCATAAGAAACAACATCAACTGGTCCTCAAATGTCAACGTGGACAGGATCAAATAATGCTTTAGTAGTAGAGATACTTCTAGCAAAAGGCAATTGTTTCTGTTTGGCTAAATGAAAAATCTCACAATCACTAAACTCTGTGGTTATGACCAAAGCAGTCAAAATCGGGATTTGACGTAAAATCGAAAATGGGGGTAAAATGACTAAAATCGGAATCGTAAAATCGTAGGATTTTAAGGTCCATATAAAAATGAAGATGGAATAATATTAGTAAGGAAAATAATGAATAACACAAAATCACAAAAGACTTACAATGATAAAAAAAAATTTCGTTGAATAACTTACAATGATAATTTTTCAAGGTTAATGTTACAATTTATCAAGGTTAATGTTAAGAGGTGGTGAATCGATGATGATTAATATGTTGATGTGATTTGATTATAGTTTATGGTGGTTAGTGTGAGAGAGCTAGATGACGTTGGTGGAGGTGAAGAAAAAGAGGAGTAATTTTGCAAATTTTGGGGAAAATAAGTAAAATTGACTCAAAGATTTGAATCCTAAAATCGTAAGATTTTAAAGATTTTAAGGATTTAAATCGTGAATAGTGTAGGATTTTAATATCCATAGATTTTATAGTGAAATCAGAATCGGAATAGGTAAGTAAAATCGTAAAAGCGTAGGATTTTAGGATTTAAATCGGGATTTTGACTACTCTGGTTATAACACCACTACATTGTTTGTTTATTTCTTGTAGTCTTGGTAAGGAAAGGTGCCCCAGCCTGACAAGCCATAGTTTTGAGCTCTCACTGGTGTTCACTCCAAGAATGTGTGGTTTGAGATTCTCTCCAGGTCAACTGACTCCCCAAGCAAGTAATGTCCTCTATTTATGTGGATTAAACCAATCCTCTATTGAGAGATTAGGTCATGGATACAACAAAAGTTGGTTTCAAAATGTAGTGAAAGTGGGCTATTACCGGTTAACTGAGTGATAGAAGTCAGATTGTAACTAAAGGATGGGACCAAGAGAACATTGGTAAGGAATAGTTCACAAAGTAACTTGACAATGCCAGTATGAGTAACCTTTGCATGTTGTCCATTAAGTAAGGTTACTAACATGTCCTTAACCTCTCTACATCTAAAGAAGAAATGCATAGTGATAGAAACCTGCGTTTCTATTCTTTTTTAGCATTTGGACTTATTTGCTAGTTTATGATTATTTAAGAATTCTATGAGGCATTTGGGGATTTAATTGGGGATTTAATAAATTGGGGTAGCTATAGGTAATTAGGGAATGCTATTTAAACTATTTTGCTACGTAGGAATCAAGGTTAAGCAAAGATTAAACCTAATTATCTCCTAATATTCCTCTCTCTCTTGGCTGATCCCTCTCCCTCTCTCTATAGGCTGCTGCGCAGCCTTCTTCCCTCTCCTTTCCACTTTTCCCACTTCCCCTCTTCTTTTACCTTCCCATACACGCACAACAGATCCATTTGAAGGCTCTTCACCCAAATCCCTTCTCTTTTCTTACTATCAGATAGAACCCGAAATACGGGTTTCTATCATCTAATATCAGAGCCCGATTCCGACAATTGAGTTTGTCGCAACTCTACACCGAGATGGGCAGCGAGACCATGGCTATTACCAAATCCCTTGCAGAGAAATCCGACGTCGGATCCAAGGCGGCGGCGACCCAGATCAGGGTTTCCTCGCCACAAGCAGACAACCAGCGTGAATGCATCGTGGTGGACGAAACTGAGAATGAAGATCTCCAGGATTCGATGCGCACCATCATGGAGATGCAGTTGAGGAGGCCAGGCACGAACGCGACATGATCATGCAGCTCCTCACCAACATGCAGGAGGAGCATAGGAGGATGGCGGCTGCGTTGGCGCTCGACGATGGCGACCGTGGCGGGGTGGTGATGACCAAGGTGGACCAGGCGGCGGTAGCCGGCCATCGCGCGGCCACGGGAGGTGGGGACCCGACGGCTGTCTCGGCGGCTAGCGAGGCCATGGCGGGGGCCGGAGGGGAGGCGACGGTGGCCACCCTAGGGCAGGCGGCGGCTAAACAGGTGGGCCTAGATGCTTGTGGGCCTCATGGCGGGCTCGGGCTGCTACCGACCCTGACGGAAGAGGAGAACGCGGCCATACGTGGCAAGGCAAAGATGCCGGGCTACGACAACGTGGTCCAGAACCCATGTTTCAGACCGTTGGTCCCAAGCCCGATAGAGGACGAGATGGGTCGAGTGCAATGGGTCAGGGCAGGCCTGAGCGGGGCTGCGGGACGAATGGGCTCGATCGAACCAGCGGGTGGATCGGGCTTTGGTGATCCGACCGGTCCGGAATGGTCAAACCGGAGCTGGGTGGCCCAAAAGTGGCCGAACCGGAGCTGGGTGGGCCAAAGTCGGTCGAACCGGAGCAGGGTGGACTGAAGAGGGTCAAACCGGAGCTGGGTGGACCAACAGCGGCCGAACCGAGGCTGGGTGGACCAATAATGGTCGAACTGGGGTTGGTCGAACTACAAGTGAACCGAACCGGTTCGGGTTGACTCCGGATGGCAGACCAGCCGTAGGATGGCGAGCCCAGCTGAAGGGCTCGAGTGCACACGGTCCTCCTTTCACAGCATCAGGAGACCCCGGGGGTCAACCCGGAATGTACGGACACTACTCGGGAGACGACGGCCATGGCTAGGGCCCAGGATGCGACGTTGCGGTCCACCGGGATATCACAAAGCATACCCCTGTGCGGGTAGGTATGGTGGGTATGATCGTTATGATGATGAGTATGGCTTAGTGTTTCGAACCAAGCCCCCGACCATTGAGTTTCCAAAATTCACTGGTCAAGAGGATGCCGGTTTATGGTTATATGCAGCGGACAGGTGGTTCAAGAATCACCCGACCCGTGAGGAAAGGAAGACGCAACTAGCGTCCTTCTATCTGGAGGTTGACGCCCTGCACTGGTAAGAGTGGTTAGAGAGATCCTATGCTGTAGGGCAGACCCAGATCACATGGCCGATATTCCAGAAGGAGCTTCGCTACCAATTCGGCAAGTCAGAGGGCTGGGCTCCGGAGCAACTGGCCAAGCTCAGACAGACCGGATCAGTAACTGAGTACAGGGCAGAGTTCATTAAACTGGGAAACCAGTGTAAGCGAGTTTCGAAAGAGACCCTGGTGGGAAAGTGCATGGCGGGTCTAAAACCGGAGATTGCCGCGGCAGTCAAGATTTTTGAGCCAGATACCTTGCGGGCTGTTTTTCGCCTTGCCGGACAAAGGAGGCAGAGCTGGCAAGCTGGAGGAGCGTCATAGAGCGCTAACCCAAGTCTGGAGGAGGAGGCCACGCGGGTGCAGGGAGCAGCGGAAGTGGCGGTGCAGCTATTAATGCTAACAGCGGGGTTAGTACGGTACCGGGTGCAGCGGTTACGACAGCACGTCTTGGGCCGAGGGCCTCGCCCAAGGGATTCGTCAAGCTTATCTCAGCAAAGATCGAGTAGAAGAGAAGGGAAGGCAAGTTCTTCAACTGTGACGAACGGTTCACCATTGTACACAAGTGCGCGAAGCCGGACTTGATGACTCTAGTGGGGAGATGGGAGGATGAGGCCGAGGAAGACGCGGCGGAAGGCAGGAACGAAGATCTGGCGAAGGACTGACAACCTTAGGGACAAGGTTGTTTCGAAGGAGGCAGGGATGATAGAAACCTACGTTTCTATTCTTTTTAGAATTTGGATTTATTTGCTAGTTTATGATTGTTTAAGAATTCTATGAGGCATTTGGGGATTTAATAAATTGGTGTAGCTATAGATAATTAGGGAATGCTATTAAAAATATTTTGCTACGTATGAATGAAGGTTAAGCAAATATTAAAACTAATTATCTCCTAATCTTCCTCTCTCTCCCTTCTCTCTTGGCCGATCCCTCTCCCTCTCTCTACAGGCTGTTGCGCAACCTTCTTCCCTCTCCTTTCCAATTTTCCCACTTCCCCTCTTCTTTTCCCTTCCCATACACGCACAACAGAAGCCATTGGAAGGCTCTTCACCCAAATCCCTTCTCTTTTCTTATTATCAGATGGAACCCGAAATACGGGTTTCTATCACATAGAGCATACAATATGATCACTCGCACCAGTGTCAAGCACTTATACATCTTTACTCTTTGAAGTTGTATAGGTATGGTGATACCTGACATGGTGTTCCCCTTAGATGTAATAGAGTTTACCATTGATGAGGAAGATGATTGTTGCTGACAGCTCTTGAGCAAAGCCTTCATGCGATAGAGTTCTTTTGTGATGAAACCAGAAAAATGATTAGGACTGTCTTGATTACTTCCTGGACTGTTAGGTGAGAAATTTCCTCCTCCTGAAGATGCCTTCTAAACAAAATTGACATCCACAAAGCCTGCAAAGCCCCCTGTGGTTTCCTCCCCCTTCTTTCTTTTTCTTCAGCTTCCAACAGTCTTGGATCACATGGTTATCCTTCTTGCAGTATCTACAAAACAGTCCTCCTCCTCCAGTTCGCTCTTCCATTTGACTCGTAGCCTTAGGTGGAGTATAATGAGCTCTAGAAGTTGCTAAAGCAGCTGCAAGAGCAATTGTTTCTTCGTATTTTCCAGTATTAACACTAGATCCATTCAACTGTCTCTCTAGTTGAATCACAGAACGATAAACCCCATAAATATCATGCAGTGGTTCAATCATCCTCATCTGAGTCTTCACCTGTTGATATTTTTCATTAAGACCCAACAAAAACCTGATGACCTTGTTTCGTTCCTTATATTTCATAACAGTTTCATAAGTCTTGGAAACACAGTTACAGTAGGGAATGGGCAAGTAACAATCATGCTCATCCCACAACAACTTCAAGTCAGTATAATATTGTCTAATGATTTGATTAGGTCAACTTTCTTATGCAGATTTGTGATTCTCACATAATCGCCTTGACTGAACTTGGATCTGAGAAAATTCCAAGCCTTAGAGGCCATCTTAATGTTCCTCATACTAAGAACAATGTCATATGCTATTGAGTTTCTAATCCAACACACCACTGTGCCATTGACTCTATCCCAAGTGTCATAAGGATCAGAAACATCTAGTACATGAATAGAACACAGGACGAAACCTAAGTGTGTTATTGGTGGTGCGTAGAGCTACCTCCGTAGACTCACTACAGAGGAGGTAGTTGTCGTCGTTGAGCTTGAAATTGATCACCGAAAAGGACGAGTTATCACTTTGCATCAGGTAAAAGGGGTTGTTGTAGGTGTCTCCATAACGAGGAGGTGGAACAGTTTCCTTATTGCGCTCAGATCCCTCCGAACTACTGCTATCTTCCTTTCCTGACATCGTTGAAGATCAACAACTTCTGATGACGAGACAAGAAGAAGAGAGGATAATCAGTAGCCAACCAGGCTTTGATATCATGAGAAAGATTTAACCTAGCTACTAGAATGCTAGGGTTTTGAGATAAAATGAGAGAATCCCGTCTTGTGGGAAATCGGCAGAATGCCTCTTCCTCTGTGGAATTTTGTATATATATCAGGTAATCTACATCTGATCTTCTCAACTAATTACACTAAGTCGATACTACATCCATTGTGCTTTGTGGAGTGTTTACCACTTAAGGTAAACGACGTAGGGCTGAGGTCACCGAGCTTTGTACTGAACAAAGTGAAGGGAAGCTCGGCTCAGCTCGATCATTCTTCAACCTGCAGTGTCTTGGAAGATCTGCAGCAGCTAGTGATAGTGTAACCTCATTCACATTATTTGTTTCATTATTGAGCTATTGGGTAGTCAGCTATATTCATTACAGTGTGTTTGTTACAGATTGTCCACCAACATGGTGTGCTATTAATCCGCTTTGAATTTTAAAGCCGCAAACTTCAAGTCAATCCCAAATACAATGACCTGACGAAGAACACGGAAAAGCAGAGCATTTCCCCCTGGTTTCTAATTGACTTATTAGTTAAAGAACAATTCATCAATTACCAATCTCAATTGAACCAATTACAAGCTTAAAGCTGCAAACTTTTGTCAAATCCCAGCTTTTGGGAAAGCTTCAACATGAAAGGAATAAAAACTGATGAGTGAAAGTGTACCAGGAGACAGGTAACGCAGAGCAGTAAAGATTTTAAAAATCATAGCTCTGCGTTGTTTAATACTGGCATGAACAAGCATTCAATCTATGCTTCGGAAACTAGAACATCTCCATTTTACAATTGGAGAGGTTCACCATAAGAAGCAACCCAAAACGACATTCGAATCAAAAACGTTTTTTCGAGGAAATATCACCAATCCAATGCAGTCGACGCCCTGATAAGGAACAGAGGGGCGCAAATCGATAAATTGAAAATTGGGATTGCAAGAAAAAGCAGAATACTTCTTCAAAATCTACGCTTCCGTTGACACGTTCCAACTAGGGATTAAGAATTGGCCAATCGAGGAACGCAACGCCTATAGAAGCGATTAACACGGACGAAACACACACAATCGAATCAATTTACCGATACAGAGGATAAAAAGGGGACTTGAGAATATGACAGAGGAGATTAATTGACGAATGAAGGCTGGGAAAACTGACACCGAGCTGCTTCCGGTACTGTGATTAGGTTTCTCGAATTGGGGATTTATAGTGGAAGAGTCGAGTGCTGTCCTGGGGGCTGGGACTAGTTTGGTGAGGAGTATGGTGGATGACTGTTTGAACCAAAAGAGAGTATGCTACAAGTCCAGAACGAGAAGTGATTGGGCCTAGGTTACAAGTTTGACCGCGGCCAACTCAAATGGTGGAGCATGAATGGACCAATAACTTTCGGCCCGAGGCTCTTTACCATCAGAGTCCAAAAGATGGATTTTTTTTTTATGAATCGGTGGGATCTTATTCATAAAAAAAGCACTAGCAACGGACCCTGCTAGTTGGGTAGGGTTACCTACAAAGGGAGAAAAACAAATCAGTGTGAATAACAATTTCCTACTATAATATCTATTAAAAGAAACCCGCGACTAAGAGACGTCCTAGTAGAATTGAGACCTTGTAGAGCCCAAAAGATCCTCTACTTCTCCTTTAATGTACTTCAACAGCTTCTCATAACTTCTCACCTTAGTCGCATACATTCTACAACAGTGCTCTCTCCAAAAATGGCTTAACCAAACTTACCTGATAACCCTTCCAGTGTCAACTACTTCACCAGTTCTCCCAAAGCTTGCAATCACCCAGTTGAGTTATCTCTCCCAACTGCGCTCAAGAATATGACTAGTATGTCTATTGAATAACTCAGAAAACAACTGCAAAGAGAAGGGACATGCCACAAATATATGCTCTCTAGATTCAGTACCAATCCCACTTAAACAACACTCCATTAACCCTAAAAACCTCATATATGCATCTTGTCTTAGGTGTATATGCTTCCATTAACGATCAACCAAGTAAGAAACATGTTCCTCTTGATTGATATCCCCTTCCATACCACCTTTTCCCATGGAACTTGCTTTCTTAGAGGTCTGACGACATCCCACACCTTCTCAAATA